TTCCTGCATGCCAGGGGGTTGGACTGGGTGGCCCTTGTGGTCTCTTCCAACTATGTTTCAATAATAATAATATAATAATAATAATATATTAATAATGATGTTTATTTATAATGCCCTTTTCACCAAAGGGCAGTACAGCAGAACATATACAATCAAAAATGAATGATAAAACACAACACTATAAAATGCTACAATAATAAAATAATATACTAATATGCCTACTTCTATGCAATTAGCAGGCTTCCTCTTGCACTCCTGTTCCTTGCTTTGCTCTTCTCTTCTGCTTTTCAGACTAATTCTGCAACTTCTGGCTTCTTACAAATGTGCTGGTTCACATTTCTATCTACTACATTAAACCCAGAGATGAAAAAGAGAGAGGCAAAGGGGCTGGGGTGTGTCTGAAGAAAGCAGAAGTTTATTTCTTCTCAACTCTATAGGTGATAGCAGAACTAGGTTTCAGTCAAAAGGACTTTGATTGCATATAGTAGATATGTTCACACTCACCACCTAAAGTTGCTTAAGCCCCCACTGTTGTTTAGGGTTGATAGAAGCTGCAGTCCAACAACATCTGTAGGCCAATTGCCCAAGCCTGACAGCAGAACTGCAGTAAGAATGCAGATCTTCCAACCCCTTTCCTCTGTTAATTGGGAACTGTACACCCCATTAGATTTAGATAGTCCTATATCTCCATTCCCAAGCACATAATTGCATTGAATTATGATGGCTAATAGCTTTTAGCAATAAACATACTCCGAGCTTGGAGTTCCCAAGCACTAGGCTTTCAGAGCAGATAGTTCCTGCCACTTTCATATATTCTGAAATAATGGCCGCTGGGTATTTCTCGGTACTATACCTTCACAAGCAGTGGTTCCCAACCCCAATCCCTGCTGATGTTCCTACTATGGACAATTCATTATTTCTGTCTCCAGCTTGTCTAAAGTTTACAGACCTAGCTCTAGGGTTTTAATGTTAGAAGAAATAGATTCAGTTGTAGCCTCAGTTGCTCAGCTAGGTCTGGCAGTCTCTGACAGAGAACTGGCCTGAAGTCCCCCCTCGTGCGCAGGACCCATTGTTGTGGGCTCTCTGTGTAACTGCTGTTTGAAGCAAGGCTTTCTGCTTTTCCTTAATTCTGGCCTCTCTTTATCTTTACTGTTTTCAGTTCAAGATGGCTTTCCCATGCCCAGGCGCTTTTCTAAACCCGAATACCAACAATTCTTTTTAGGGATGCACAAAAAATCTCTGGAGGCAGCGGCTGAGGCAGGAAGGAAGCCGGAGGTGGAACACCAGGCCCTGCCCAAGCTTGACAAGAATGACAAGGAAGAGAGGGGCCCAGATTCCAAAACCACCATTTCCCAGGAGGAACTGAGAGAGAACAGCATTGCTGCCCTCAGGGCCAAAGCTCAGGAGCATAGCACCAAAGTCCTGGGGACCATTCCTACAGATCCTCCTACTCCAGCCAGGAAGCCAGATAAAGAGGAAGAGGTAGCCACAGCAGAAGACGACCAGCAATTGGAAAAATCAGATTTATCACAAGAGGAAGAGAAGCTGGTTTAGAAGGAAGAGGATGATGGGGAAACAGCCATCTCCTCAAAGACTGACTCCTCTAGGAGCTACAGCCCTCTCTCAGACTACTGGGTCCTTCCTGCAGCCCCTACACACATGGAGGGAAAGCCCACTCTGTACATTTCAGGCTAAGGCCGTGTTCTGCTGGGTATGTCTAGAGACTGGTTTTCCCTCAAAAGCACATTGTCCTGCAATCCTTGTCCTGTTGTCTTCCCCAGTTTCAAATGGGAAAGGGGCAAGGGAGCTATATACGACCACTATCTTAAGCCAAGAGGAAAATGCAGCTAACTAGGACTTTTTCCTCAACACCAGCCACCACACCAATGCCAGGTCTTTCCTCTGTTCCCCCATCATTCAATCTCTGTTGTCACATTCTCACCCACATCTTTAAAAGGTGTCCTTTCTGTCATCTCACTGTATTTCATGGTCAAAGTAAAAATCTTTCTCTTTATCTCAGTCAGGTTCTTAGCTTTCCCAGGGAAGAATGGCCCTTTCTTCATATTTATACATTAATTTATGTAAATATAAGTTTTAAACTGCTCATTGCCAAGCACTGAAGCCATGTTTAAAAAGAAAAAAAGAAAGTCATTCCCTCTTCCTAATGTCAGGCCAAATCTAAAATTGGCCAGGTGGAAACCCTACCTCATAGTGAGTCTCTCCTTCACTACAGTGTCAAAACTGTTGTTGATGGAAGAGGCCCAGACACCCTTTTAGTGCAATGTGAATTTTCGTTGCAGAAAATTTGGCTCATTTATGCCACCCAGACTTAGCATTCCAAAATACTGATCTATATTCCTCAGGTAACGTTGCCACTTTCCCCCCCCCCCCCCCCACATTAGCCCATATCACTTCATGGGAAAATCTATAGAAATAATTATTTATACAATTTTACTGATTCTAAATTTTCCATGTTTCTTTCCCAAGGGAATCCTGAAATGGGAAAGAAGTGCTTAATTATTGGGGGGAAAATGTGCCAAGGCACGTTGGATGTTAGATTACCTGATGCTGGAGCTTTGCTCCTTCCCCCCAAACTTGGGCATGTAGGATCTGCATGATCAGTTGATACCTGGGAAGGGAAATGCTCCCTGCTTGCACTCTGTAACTTATTGAATACTAAGGGTTTATACCTAGTATTGACCAATTTGTGAACCTTGTCCTACATTAACCTAGGACCTGTGCTCTGGAATCTTGTTTGTAGCTTTGGGGTTGTTAAATGGAAGTAAATGAAATAGGAGTCCGGTCAGCATTTGACTTGAATGTGTGAACTGGTATCATATTGGTGCCTCATGCTTCAGATGTTATGGAAGTTCTCTCAGTTGAATCCAGTTATTCAAAGGTGCACATTATTGGTCCTTGCTTGATGGTCATCAAATGATAAGGACAGATTTATAAAACAGGCTACACAGGACAAGCTGCTTGCGTGCACTTTTGCCTATCTCTGTCATATGCAGTTAAAATATTCATTGAACAATTTGTTCAACACCAGTAACATGAAATAAAGCACTTATGGATGGTTCCATATCCCAAGAGTAAAAGGGAGTATTGACAGCCAATGGTTTTCCTAGGTAATTAACTCACAGACATTAATATGAAGTCTTGGACACACTGTCATAAAAAAAAAAAAAATCCCACTTCCATAGTAACATTGCTCTCCTATTCTCCATCATGAAGATCCACATTTATTTTCCTGTCTTTATTATGACAAAGCTCTTTTTACCTGAAGTTGCTGTTTTATTTGTTTATAACTGAAACTTTCCTTCCCACATAATCCTTATCTGTCTATGTCCCCCAGTTATTTGGCGTGTTAGATTATAGACCATGGTGTGTAAATAATGTACATATGGTGAGAAAAGTTGGTATTTGAAGTGAAGATACAAAGTTGTAACAAATAGTCATTCAAAACCTGTGATTTTTTTGGTGCCATTTTCTGTAAAGATATAAATCAGAATAAAATTGAACTAAAGATTGGCAGACCCCATACTGTACTGCACTTAAAGGAAGAGAATGGGGAAAATGGATAACCTGGTTCTCTTGGCTTATTTGTATTATGTATACAGTTTAGACTGAAAATGTATCATGATGGGGCTTTATCTTTCACAGAAGGGTTTAAAAGAAACATGCATCAAACAGGGGACTATAAGAACAATGAAGGTACCATACTTAATACACAAGCCTCTGGGGAATTTATACATGTCTATAGTGTTCATAATTCAACATAATTTCAAATAGGTTTTCACTGCATATTCTGAATTCTGTGCTCTTAGCACTTTGCCTATAAAAAGGTTTCCCTTTCATAGAATCATAATAGAGTTGGAAGAGACCTCAAGGGCCATCCAGTCCAACCTTCTGCCATGCAGGAACACACAATCTCTCTCTCTCTCCCTCTCTCATAACTTCAGAGCAATAACACTTAAACACCTGAAACTTAGCATGTGTGCTATGGGGACCTAGAGGTGTTCACTTGGGGGTTTAAACTAATGTGAGATCTACAGTACCATATCCAATAACTAAGTGGTAGATTTTCACAATTAGCACAGAGTTTTGCAACTGAAACTGTATGAAGCAATGTTAAAGTAGTCTGAGGAACGAAGTTATAGGGATGTCCCTCGCTACTACAATGGGCAAACACATACACCCCAGCACAGAGTGGCCAAACCCTTCACTCAGGGGGTTTGAATTATGTGTCATGGCACAGGATGTGTCCAGTAGTCCCATAAGCCATGGCTTCACTCATGTACAATGATGTTTTGAACTGGCAATGTGCAACATTTTTTAAGTGGTATGGCAAGTTGAGGGTTAACAGAGTTTTTACTCTAGTAGAAAAAAAGATCTTGAACCCCAAATAATATGAAGGTAGAAAAACTAAACCTATTCAGGCCTGTCAGACTTTAGGCACCTGCAAACAGATTCACTAAACTCTTGTTACTCCATTATTCAGCATATGTACTATAACACCAAGCATAAAGAATAAGGAAGAAAATTAAACAACACTGGTTTCATGTTGCAAGAATGCCGATTTCTTCCTTAATGATCTGGCAACTGTTTAGCTTTACAGGAAGCACAATTTGAAGAGCAGGCAAGTGGTGGTCTGCTAGGCCCTTGTACTTCCATAATGGATTCCCAGTATGTCCTATTGCTGCTCTCTCCACAAATACCTCTTTTTCTTTCTTCTAGAATCATCCATTTTTTATCCTTAGTACATAGCGTACAACCTGTAAATGAACAGAGTTTGTTAATTACTGTACAACTATCCTACGCCTCATCCCCTTTCCCCTACAGTGGATCAACATTAGGTCAAACTAACGCTGAATCTTGTTTTTTGTTTGTTGTGTGCCTTCAAGTCGTTTCTGACTTATGGCAACCCTTATCATAGGGTTTTCTTGACAAGATAGGCTGAGAGATGGTGACTTGCCAAAGGTCGCCCAGTGGGTTTCCATGGCCAAGCATGGAATTGAAACCTGGTCTCTAGAGTTACAGTCCAACACTCAAACCACTTCGCTATGCTGGCTCTCAACTTTGAATCTAGTCCTATATGTACTAACTACTCTTGGTACTCATAGTAATCTCCCATACAAGGAACTGATAAGGTCCAGATGTATAATGCTGAAGCATTAAGTACTCTCAAATCATTCACAGATCCCTATCTTGTACAATGAGCCCTTGGTATCCACTGTGGTTTGATTCCAAGATCTCCTGTGGATACCAAAATCCGTGGATGCTCAAGTCCCATTAAATACAATAGCATAGTAAAATGGTGTCTCATATATAAAATGGCAAAATCAAGGCTTGCTTTTTGGAATGTATGTTTTTAAAAATATTTTCAAACTATAGATGGTTGAATCTGTGGATAAACATGGATACGGAGGGCCAACTGTACTTGTTAAGGATTTACAAGTGCAAAAGTGCCATGTAGGCTCCATATTCCATATTTCTGTTGTTACACATTACATTTACTTCATACTTCTATTTTGAGCTACTTATTAACCCATAGGTTCTGGAGCATCCTTTTGTCATTGTATACTGAACTATAGGGACATAGTTGGGTGTTTCTCCACCAGCCTACCACTCTCCACCATCCTAGGTGGAACTTTACACTCCATCTGCCCATGATGGATGTTGGCCTTCATTTTATGGTTTTATATTTGTCATATAAATACTTTAAAAAATCCATGTTAGTACTAACTTGTCCCGTGATTTTGAAGCAAGAAAATTGAAGACTGTAAAAAGTATACTTACAAATCCAAGGTTGATTAGAGTTACAAGTGCTGGTAAGAGGGACCAACATGAGGAACAAAGATCCATTAAGTTTATGATCTTCATCCTTGTCCTGATCTTCATCCTTGTCACCACGAGTTCCTTTTAATGTCTTCTTTCCTGAACATAGGACCTGCATATTCCTCCATTCTCACCTATTTTTGATAAAGTGTTTGGTAAGATTATTTTTTAAAATTAAAGAAAGAGGTGCATTTAAATCAGAGACTGTAATAGTATGTTTTTGGACTATAGTTTCCATAATCCCCAACAAGCCAGCCAGGGGCACTACTGGCTGAGATTCTGGTAGTTTTGTCTGACAGAGTAACTTTTCTCAACTCTGGTTTAAATCTGTTATTCCGGTTAAGCATTTACCAAAGTCCTGCCATGAGGAACACTAAGCATCAATGGTTTTATTACAAATATTGTACGGTCTAATTAAAGGTAGGTTTTGTCATGTGAACTTTGTGTCAAAAGAAACATATTCAGGTTGAAAAAATGCATATTCAGGATGACTATATATTTTGAGGAGTCAAACTGTGTGGCATGTTTTAGGAAAGCTATTATTTACTCATTTGGCAGAGTTATAGCTACTGCTGCTGAGGGTTACTGATACTATCTTCTCAAATATTGCAGTCAGGTAAAGATGTCTGAATAACTTAAAACAGAAGAGAATGAGAAATATCGTACTAGTAAGTAGATGCAGGAATTATGCACCCCTCCAGATGTTGTTGGATTGCAACCTCCACTATTATTCACCATTGGCTATGTTGGCTAGGACTGTTGGGAAATGCAGTTCAACTATTTCTGGAGGACTGCATGATTTCCATCCATGTGGTAAAAGGAAGCTATCCCTTACCACCCTTCCACATATTTAGGCCAAAGAGGATAATATGAAAATGATCTCTTAAACAGTAACAGATAACTGGCCCTTTCTGTTTTAAAACGGGGGCCATTTCAGATGTGCTGTAACACTCATAATTAATAATATCTAAGGCTGCATCTGCACTGTAGAATTCATACAGCTTGACACTGCTTTAACTGCCATGGCTCAATGTTATGGAATTCAGGGATTTGTAATTTTGTGTGATATTTCAATGAAGCCTTTGACAAAGTTCTCCATTTAACTTGCAAAAAAGCTAGTTAAATGTGGGTTAGACAATGCAATTGTCAGTATGACCATTTTGTAGTAGACAGATTTGTAGTTCTCTGTCAGAACCAAAGGATGCTCATCAATGGTTCCTCTTCATCTTAGAGAGAAATTACTAGCGGGGTGCCACAGGGTTCTGTCCTGGGTCCAGTGCTATTCAACATCATTATCAGTGACATGGATGATGGAATAGGAGTCATGCTGCTAGTACCCCAGAGGATAGGATCAAAATTAAAAATTGTCTGAAGACAATAATTCTCAAATGGTTGGCAACCTGGGGTGTTGGTGGTGGTGGTTTGCCAGACTTGGAGGCCCTGATCTTTCCTCCTCCTCCTCTTCTCATACTTTTTAATGTTTAAAATTTACACATGCATTGAGTTAAATATTGAATTTAATTAAATAAAACTGTTCCAATTTAGAAAATATTATTTCCTTATAAAATGTTAAAACATGAATATAAATGAATGTGTGAATGAAAATATGCACACTAAATAAACAAAATATTCTATTCATATGCTATGTCAAATGTGGGGGCACAACGTCCACATGTAGATGTAAAGGGGGTCTTGAGGGTAAAAAGTTTGAGTACCATTGCCTTAAGAATTTAGAGAGCTGGGCCAGAACTAACAAAATGAATTTCAACAGGGAGAAATGTAAGGCACTACACTTGGGGGGAGGGGGGGAGAGAAAGGCACAGATATAGGATGGCTGACACCAGGCTTGATAACATTACATGCGAGTCTTATGGTGGACCTCAAGATAAACATGAGTCAACACACAGTGTGATGCAGCAGCTAAAAAGGCCAGTATGATCCTAGCCTTCATCCATAGGAGTATAGTGTCTAGATCAAGGGAATAACAGTACCACTCTATCCTCCTTTGGTCAGACCTCACCAGCAATACTGTGTTCAGTTCTGGGCACTGCAGTTCAAGAGAAATATTGACCAGTCTCCAGTGGATCTCGTGATCCTTGATTCACGTTTGAACACTGCGTTTTGTGGTCCCTATGTTAGATTTGTCCACATCTGCATGGTATGCAGTAAACTGTGGCCATGAGACAGTCTCTCCTATCATTCGCCGAGTACAGCATTTCCTGGATTTTCCTGGGTGGTCTGTAGATCATTTGGAGGTTGTGTTTCCTCATAAGTTTCCCTATTCAATCTGTGACTCCTTTGATGTATGGTAAAAATACCTTCCCTTTGGGTGGTTGTTTTTCTTCACTCCTGTGGTTTTTTCTGGGTCTGGCTGCTCTTTTGATGTCTGAGCTGGAGTAACCATTCGCCTGTAGAGACCAGTCTAGGTGCTTCAATTCCTCTTCCAAGAAGTGGGGTTCACAGATCCTCTTTGTGCAGTCTACCAGTGGGTTTTTTGGGTTTTTTTGTGTGTGTGTGCTTCTTTTTTTGTCTTGGATGATGATTGGAGTTCTTGTGTAGGTATCTGTCCATGTGTATAGTTTTTCTGCGAAAATGTGAATCGAGAAACATGAGAGACACTACAGACTGGGCCAGCCTGAAAAATCAGCAGTAGCAGAACATGTTATAAACCAACCTGGGCATAAATACTATTTGAAAACACTGAAATTCTGGACCATGCCAATAACTCTTGGGTCAGAATGTACAGGGATGCCATTGAAATCCACAAACACCTGGACAATTTCAACAGGAAAGAAGAAACCCAGGAAGTAAACAAGTTTGGCTACCAGTCCTCACAAACACCAAAATCAGGACTCAGCAAATGCAAATGAACTTCACCCAGGGTCAGGGGGTTTCCCAGCAGACAAAGAATAATTAATTAAATAGACACTAATCGTCCTTGCACATCTTCCCACCCTGAGGCCTTGCCTCAACAGAACAATACACAGATTTACATGCTAATCCTCTCAACCAAGGATCACACAATATATATCCCTACATATTTCCGTGCCACCATTTTCTGAAGATGCCAGTCACAGATGCAGGCGAAACGACAGGAATACATTCTTCTAGAACACGGCCTCACAGCCTGAAAAAACCCCACAAAGACCTATGTATTATTTCTGTAGTGCAGACACAGCCTAAGTGGCATAGGACCTGGAACAAATGGAGACCATATAAGTTTAGACCGAAAAAAAGTTTAACAATATTCTTGAATGATCAAAAGATTTATTCAGAGAAAGTAATGGAAACCATAAAACAAGGAATGAAATGACACACACACACACACACATTTGTATAATGCAATCCTGTACATGTATATTCAGAGGTAACCCCCATTTACTTATATGGGGCTTACTGTGAGATAAATATGCATAAAAGTGAGACTTATAGTTAAACTACATTCTGCATTAAGTCCAGAATATATAGCTAAAGGTTAATTTCTTTTTTATTCTAATTTATGTAGGCTGGGGCCTAATTCAAATTGGAATCTGACTCTATCAGTGAAGAAGGGGTGTAAATCTCTCCTTCCCATACAGCATTTTATTTTTCATACATTCAGTCTTTCACTCATGCAGGAGATAAAAAAAAGAAAGTGGAAGAACTAAAAGTGGAAACAAACATTTGTATTTTCACAGGTGCTTTAGTGTGATACTGAGCAAGTGTGGAAGTAGCTCTCCAGGAGACCTTGGAAAGCTGCACCTACTCCCACAAAAGTAGCATATTTTTTTCCCTGAAAATCCTTTATGATGGCATGTTTTTGGGCCCTTCTAGGTCTCCAAAGGATACACTGGGACAATTTGAAACAAACTTTTTTTTTTTAAAAAAAATCATAAAATTATTTTGACTTCTGGGGTGTGTGCATGTGCATGCAGCCTGCAGTTTGGCCACCTCTACTCAAGTGGATATGTGTGACAGAAGAACAAACTTGGAAGTGTGAAGTTTTCCTTTTCACAGGAAAATAATATCCCATTATTTAGGGACTTGTGACATTGTGACCCCATGATTTAGAACTGATCAAAAATGTGTATAGCTTATATTTGAAATCAGACAAAAGGTATCCGAGCTTTGTTGTGTGCCTTCAAGTCATTTCCGACTTATGGCGACCCTACAGCAAACATATGGGGTTTTCTTGGCAAGATTTGTTCAGAGGATTATTGCCATTGCCTTCCCCTGAGGCTGAGAGCTTGTGAC